AGAAAGGCATTTTTTACATTTACATTTTCTAGGTAAAGGTAAAGGGACCCCTGACCATTAGGTCCAGTCATGACCGACTCTGGGGTTGTGGCACTCATCTCGCTTTATTGGCCAAGGGAGCCGGCGTACAGCTTCCGGGTCATGTGGCCAGCATGACTAAGCTGCTTCTGGCAAACCAGAGCAGTGCACGGAAATGCCGTTTACCTTCCCACCGGACCTATTTATCTACTTGCACTTTGACGTGCTTTCAAACTGATAGGTTCGCAGGAGCTGGGACTGTACAACAGGAACTCACCCCGTCGCAGAGATTCGAACTGCCGACCTTCTGATTGGCAAGCCCTAGGCTCTGTGGTTTAACCCACAGCGCCACCCACGTCCCTTACATTTTCTACCATAGCCTTAAAATAATAATAACTATACTCTTAACTGAGAGCCTTTGTTTGTTTTTTTAAACATATTTTTAATTAAAGATTTATTGGTTTAGAAAAGTATGTGCAATGTCTCTTTTTTCAAGTTACATATTCTACAAATCAGTTTCATTTGTTGAGACATTAGTGTTACATTAGGAAGAAAAGGGGGAAAGAGGTGGAGGGGGGCATAATGAGTGGGGGTGGGGTCGGGTGGCAATGCTTCTGTTCTACTTAATGTATGTGTGGGGTTTTGTGTCAGCCTGGCTTGTGCAGGTTCTCTTTACTATTCGCTTCTCTCACCACTGTGAGCCTTTGTTGATCAAACATGAGCCTACTAAGGCGGCAATCCTAACTCTATTTACATGGGAGTAAGTCCCATTGAATTCAATAGGATGCACTTCAGAATAGACAAGTTTAGGATTATCCTGTAAAACAGCAAATTTTTACTCACTTGGGGTTAAATCCCATTGAGATTAATCGAAATTGCTTCTGAGTAGACATGCAAAGGATTGCATTGTAAGGCTGCAACTCCTTTGGCTTGCGTGGGAGTAGGCACTATTGAACTCAGAAGGACCTCTGAATAAACATGGCCTAGATCACAGTAGAATCCTACACACATCTTAACTTGGAAGCACAGTATGTCTGAGTTAAATGAGGCTTAGTAACATGAAAAGGATGGTGGGGGGTTGCAGCCTTACAGTACAATCCTATGCTTCTCTTAACCTACTCAATAAATAAATATACCACCAGGTATGCGGGTACAGGATTGCAGCATGCAATGATTAATTTTATTTAGTTAGATAAAAGATACTATCTTCCAGGGCAGTTTACAAAAAAATTGATGATATTGATTGAAGCTTGCAGTAATTTATTCTTTTATTGTTGCCTATATTTGCTTGCCACTTTACAACAAATAACTCAGAACTAGAGCCAGAGGGTGGGGTATAAATAATAAAATTATTATTATTATTATTATTATTATTATTATTATTATTACTACTACTACTAATAATAATAATACTATTATTATTATTATTATCTAGTTCATACTGATTTTTCATCATCATACTGTATTCAGATTGGGGCTGGCTGGGACATATGAGTTTTAAGATCATGAGGTAAGTACTAGTGCATTCCTCTTAGATATACTTGAAATCTATTCACTGTGACTGTCTGATTTTTTTGTATACATGGTACACTCTGTATTTTTGAGACATATTTTATTTGTTCTGTGTATGTGGATATACAGGTGTACAATTCTGAGCTCCACACTGTAATTGAAAATTGACAGCCATGGGGCTGGCACTGTCTCTGCCTTGCGTTAAACACACTGTTTGGGAGACTTCCCTGTGAAGTTCTTCTTTTTTCTCTTCCTAAGGATGCTTTTGTTTGGATGTAGACGGTGACAAATCATTGATGTACAGAGGAAAAATGAGGTAGCTGCCTTCCAGATGCCCTTTATTTGCCAGATGTCCTTCACTAAGTTTTAAGTAATTGTTCCTTATTGCACAGCAGAACAGCCACAAGCACGTGCTACGGTTATTTATAAGATTGCCAGATCAAAGTCTGAAGGTTAACTTCCATTGCACTGGAAGTCAATTCCTACTAGGACTGGGTGAATCTGTTAGTTTTTCATTTTTCCAATCTTAAAATTCAATTCTCCACATTTCCACATCAGCTTATGGTTTATGTTTTGTTTTTTTTAAGTCCTCATGAAAAAGCAGCAGCATCTCCTAATATACACATTTTTGTGTGAAGTTTTGCCCAATGCCAATTTTTGCAAAGCAGTTTGCCCTACTATAATGCATTTTCGGAAATGTTATAGCTGGTCAACCTGTCCTCTCCCCTGTCCCCACCCCCACTTCAGGGAGAGGACAGAGACAGAAGAATTGGCAGGTTGCCAAGGTGATGGGGAGTCGTGATGTCAGAGGAAAATTTGTCCTTTTTGAAATCAAAGGTTTGCTGGGAAGGAGTGGGGCAGAATAAATGGGCCGTTTTCACAATGGAGAGAAATGAACGTTGGGATATCCCAAGGGTTTCTACTGAGACATTCATAAATGACCTGGAGCCAGCAGTGAGGTTGCTGCATTTGCAGATGACATGCTACACTATTTAGGAAGCTGCAATCCAAAACTGGCTGTTGAAAAAAACCCGTTAAAAAATATCCAAACTTGGCAATGAGAATGTGCAAAGAGTTTCTGGGTAAATGCAAAATGAGAGACAATGCAGAGTGCAAACAAATCCCCTAACTTCATATGCATTTGCTGGTAGGAATGGGATTGGCTATGACTTGTCTAGTTTACAAAGAAAGATAACCCTGCATGTCTAAGCATGTTTACTCAGAAGTCCCACTGTGTATGCTCAGGATTGCAGCCGAAGGCTATGCACACTTATCTGGGATTATACCCCATTGAACACAGCAGGGTTTACATCCAGACAAGCATAGTGTTAAGAGGGGACATGAAAGAGACTTATACAATTATGCATGGTGTGGAAAAAATGGATAGTAAGATTTCTTTATTTACTTTTACTTTGGTGCCTGGGTTAGGGCCAAACTGGGTATCATAGACACATGGTTAACTGGTGTGTGTGTGGTTCTTTTAAAAAGCACCCCCAAATAATTAGTACACAATCCTAAAGCCAGATCCTGTTGCTCTTTCTTTTATTAATCATGCATAGAATAGAATCATAGAATCATAGAGTTGGAAGAGACCACAAGGGCCATCGAGTCCAACCCCCTGCCAAGCATGTTAATCATGTGATAAATGCCATGCCTAGCTTATCCTTTAGATCGCTTTTAAAAATGGGATCAGACAAGTTTTAATTATTATTTTTATTAATTTGATTTATTACCCACTCTTCACCCTAAGATCCATTTAAATTTAAATAATACCATTTAAATTGCAGTATTAAAAACAGTTTAAAACAAATTACAATCACAGAAATAGGGGGAGCCCTAAAAATAAACAGCTCAGGGGGCTCAGGTTAAAGGAGTGAAGGTGCCAGGTGCTCTTTTGAGTGGAGGGAATACCACATTTTAGGGGCTGCTACATTCCTGGGTCATCACCACCCCAAGCTTCTGCCTGTGCTGATCTTAACCCCTCAAGGGGTCTGCAGGGAAGGAGGCAAGTCTTTCAGATATCTCTCTGCAAGATTCAGCTGCAGTTTACTGGCCCACATCCACCCCATCACCACCTCTAAGCAACAGCCTAACACTTCAGGTTCACAGAGGACACTTCCGTCAGCAGATATTAACTTGACAGCTAAATGAAACCTCCAGGTTCAGAGAATACTTCTGATTTCAGAGGCTGGGAAGGGGCTGCTGCCGCCATGGCATGCCACTGTAAGCTTCACCAATGTATCTGGCTAAGTACTGTGGGAATCAGGATGTTGCACTAATTAGGGATGGGGAACCTGTGTCCCCCCCCCCCCGATGTTGTAAGGCCAGAGCTCTTCTCATCCCTGAAATATGGCCATACAGTGGTACCTCGGGTTACATATGCTTCAGGTTACAGTCTCCGCTAACCCAGAAATAGTGCTTCAGGTTAAGAACTTTGCTTCAGGATGAGAACAGAAATCGTGCTCCGGCGGCATGGCAGCAGTGGGATGCCCCATTAGCTAAAGTGGTACCTCAGGTTAAGAACAGTTTCAAGTTAAGAATGGACCTCCGGAAAGAATTAAGTACTTAACCCGAGGTATCACTGTACTAGCGGAGGCCGATAGGAGCTGGAGCCAGTGTGTAGCATGTACAGATTATACCAGTATCGGGGGATATGGAGGTTCAAATCCCAATCTATCCATAATACTCTCTGGATTATGTACCAACCTTGGCCCAGCTTTTCTCCCTACCAGCCGAGCCTACCTCATAGGGTTGCTGTGGAGGCTAAATGGATGGCGGTGGCAGAAAGGATTGTGCTGCCTTAGTCAGACTGCATCTGGAGTACTGTATCTAGTTCTGGGCACCACTATTATTAATTAATTAAATTTGTATACTGCCCTATACCCACAGGTCTCAGGGCAGTTATGACATAAAATCACAATATAAAAACACACCATACATAAAAAAATAATAATAATAAATGTTTTAATCCCAATAATTTAACACTTTGACAGTGGAACGGACTCCTTCGGGAGGTTGTGGAGGTTTTAAAGCAGAGGTTGGATGGCCACCTGCCAATGTAGGATGTAGCTGAGATTCCTGCATTTCGGGGGGGGTGGACTAGATGACCCCTGGGACCCCTTCCAACTCCCCACTTCTGTGATTCTATGGAATCGTGCGCAAAGGCAGAACACAAAGCAATAAGCAAATGTGCTGCCCGTTGCTGCCGAGCCGGTGACTCAAAGCACAAATTCTTCGGAACACTGTGGCCCAGAAAACTCATGGCACGTGGGCAGCCCCCGCCAGCGCCGCGATCTCCTGCACGAGGCCCCGCGCGCTGCGCTCCACTTCGCCGCCTGCGTTAAGCTTCCCTTTGTTTCATTATTTTATCCCCAGGCGGCCACCGTAAGCGAGGAAGGCGGGGCCCAGATTCGATCGACTGGCGGAAGTGAAAGAGCCGAGGCTGACGACCTAAACGAGGAGCTCGTGCGCATGCTCGGTGACGTTTCACGGGGCGGCGGCGGCGGCGCTTGAGTCTCCTATCGTGGGCGGGAGCGCGGCAGCGGAGCGCGCGCTTTTTATTTATTTTTCTGCAATCCGGTTCTTTCTCTGCGGATCGTGGCCATGAGTCTCTGGGTGGACAAGTACCGGCCGAACTCCCTCGGCAAAGTGGACTATCACCGGGATCAGGCAGCGCAGCTTCGCAACCTGGTGAGAGAGATAGGGAGAGAGGGAGACAGGCGGCTGGCGCTCTGCACATGCTCGGGTGCCCTTCTCTTTCTTATCTCTTCACCTCTTCGGCGGCTTTTGGACGCGCTGGTCCTCGGGTATTGGCGAGTGTTTTTGCTCTCCGCAATAGCTTCAAACACCCCACCCCCTTTCTTTCCTGTTTTATTGGGTTATAGCAAGAGCCGGTGCTAGGCAGAGCTATCTATTTGCACCACTCTTATTATTATTATTATTATTATTATTATTATTTCTTCAATTTTCAAAAACAGATGTATGAAAAAATGAAAAGCACAAAACTTGAACTGCTAAATTTAATTTAAATTGCAAGACTAGGCAATGCTACAATATTTGGTTATCTTTCTCAAATGCCAAAGGAAGTGTTTCAGTACACAAATCCATTGAATCTGTACGAAACTGTGCCCCTCAAAGGTCAGTACTGCGCCCCTATGAAGTCTGTGCCCCAGGCAGCTGCCTAGTTGACCTAATGATAGCACCAGCCTTGGTTCCAGCCAAAGAGCAGTCCTGGAATTGATTTCGGTCCTGCAGTACGTGAAGTACCGTAATAAGAAAAAGAAAAGCATCTGAGCATGTGTAGTGAGCATATGTGCATGCCTGCTAACTGAGAATACTCTTTATGTGGCTGATGCGTGAGCTCAAGTTAAGTCAGGCTCTTGGATACATTTGGAGGGGGTAAGCTGCGATGACGAAAATGCGTTGTGTATGTCCTCAGGTGCATTTATTTCTCTTTGTTACCGCCTCACCTATCCAGGTACTGAACCCTGGTTTGGAAAAGCACTGTAGCTTCTCTCCCTCATGATGGTGCTCAACAGCAGGTGCAAAGCAAAAATTATGGTATTTGGGAGTACCAAATACCATACCGTACAGGATTGGTTGGGGCAAAGAAAAATTATGGTACAGTGGTACCTCAGGTTACATACGCTTCAGGTTACAGACTCCGCTAACCCAGAAATAGTGCTTCAGGTTAAGAACTTTGCTTCAGGATGAGAACAGAAATCGGGCTCTGGCGGCGCGGCGGCAGTGGGAGGCCCCATTAGCTAAAGTGGTGCTTCAGGTTAAGAACAGTTTCAGGTTAAGTACGGACCTCCGGAACGAATTAAGTACTTAACCTGAGGTACCACTGTATTTGGGAGTATCAAATACCATACCGTAGAAGATTGGTTGGGGCATGAGCTTTCGTAGACCTGAACTGCTTCCATGTTAAACACAAAATATGTCAGTTGGCAAGAATATTTACACATGCAGGCATACATGTTTAGAGAAAAAACTCCAGTGTAAAATAGTAGGGCGGAAAGTCCATGAAATGCCAGAGATGCAGCCTGTGACCTTTTAATGCAAAGCCTGAATGGTAATCAAGTTTAGCGTTTGGCAGTAGGGCTAGAAAGACTTGTCTGCAGCCCTGGAGAGTTGCTGGCTCTCAGTATAGACCAGGCTTCCCCAGCCTGGTGACTTCCAGTCCAGATGTTTTGGACCACAATTCCCATCGGTCCTAGTCAGCATGACCCTGGTGGCTGGGGCTATTGGAAGTTGTAATCCAAAACATATGGAGTGGGGAGGCTGTTGTACACAGGATTGGATGGGCCAATGGTATATCTCAGTATAAGGCAGTTTATACTGTCTGTCTCTGTATAAGGCAGTGACTGTTTGCAGCACCAGTAATTTGTGATAGTATCACACTTCCAAGACAGAGAACATGGCTACTAAGTAAATTGAACCCAGGGCAACATAAAATCCACTGCAAACTTAAGAATGCTCCAATTCCAGTGGACTTTAAGCAATGGTATGTCTTTGATTGTACAAATAATTATTTTTGGGTTGTGGTGTGGGAGGGGGGGATTCCACTACTTGTGTGACTCTGCATTCACAAAGCGAACATCACAATGCCACTGTGTCTTGGTTTTGGAGTTTTGGCTCTTGTGGTTTGATTTGAGCAAAAAGCTCAATCCTGGAACATGTAATTTTAAAAAAAGGAATTGGCGGGGAGTCTTTGTGTGTAGTTATGTTTTCCCTTTAACATTCACCATCCATTAGGGATTTGGGAATAGGGCTTCTAGGTTAAAGAATTTCTTAAGGAAATCAGCCCTAAGTGCTCACTGGAAGGACAGATCGTGAAGCTGAGGCTCCAATACTTTGGCCACCTCATGAGAAGAGAAGACTCCCTGGAAAAGACCCTGATGTTGGGAAAGATGGAGGGCACAAGGAGAAGGGGACGACCGAGGGTGAGATGGTTGGACAGTGTTCTCAAAGCTACCAGCATGAGTTTGACCAAACTGCGGGAGGCAGTGGAAGACAGAAGTGCCTGGCATGCTCTGGTCCATGGGGTCACGAACAGTCGAACACAACTAGACGACTAAACAACAACAACAACAGGTTAAAGAATACATGTTAGACAGGCTCAAGTACCAAAGCATTAACCATTGGTGATCTCCTTCCAGGACTTTTTCTCTCTAACTCTAGCTGCTGCTGTTCACATTGGTGGCTTGTTTATGGAAAGATGATTTACCCCAGGGTAATTATATATAAATTTAACTTGGTGCCACTATAATACATTGTTTGTCAGATCTAAAACGAAGTAGGAACACTTTGTGTACTCTTGACCACAAAATATGCAATTGCTCTGTTGCAAAAAGCGATTGTTTTGGGGTTAAAATAGTTCATCTGACACAGATTTCAAGGGTTGGCTCCTGTGATACAAGACAGGCCTGGTTCTGGAATGCAGTCAACCACAGATTAAATGGAGCTAGCTAGGCGCAGTGGCTAAAGTATGAAAGATGTACGTAAACCTGGCAGAATGAACCAGTGAATCCCAAAATATTCTTTTTTGGCATCCTATGATACTGGCAGTCTTGTATGATAGAGAGAACTCAGTTGAGTAGCTTGGGGCACTCAGGTCGTTCACATTCTAACCCTGATCCATTAGGAAACTAGGAAACTACCCTGTATGGAGTCAGATGGTTGTTTCATCTAGCCCATTATTTTCTACAATGGCTGGTGGCAGCAACAGCTCTCCAGGACTACCTGGCTAGAGATGTCAGAGAACTGAAACCTTTACTCTGCAGACCATTTTGTGCAAAAAACAAAAGGGGAAAAAGTGCTCTGCGACTGAATTCCAGTCCTTTAGTTTGCTTCAAAAGGTGGTGTGCTTTCTTTCATTTTCCACCTGAGGCTAGATTTTGACCTATTAGAGATGCTGTGATTGTGGATTTCCTTTAACAGCAGAAGGTTGAACCAGATTACCTTTGAGGTCCTTCCAACTCTTTGATCCTAGGGCTCAATGCCCAAATAAGCCGGGGGGGGGCAGCTGCCCCCCCCACTCAAGTAAAACAATGGAAATACTTAACTAACTGACCAATCATGTTGGTTCTGTCCCGCCCTAACGAAACTCCTGCCCCCCCCAACAAAAATCCTGGCTACACCCCTGGATAAGGGTGTCTATGGCTTGCAACAAAATCCTGCATTAGTTTATTAAAAATTGGGTTCTCAAAGTTATTTTCAAGTTTACTGTATGCCACTTTCTATTTTTATTTTTATTCCATTTATATCCCACCTTTCCTCCAATGATCTCAAGGGGCACACCTCCTTCTCTTCTTTTCTGTATTATCTTCACAACAACCCTGTGAGGTAGATTAGGCTGAGAGTTGAAGACCCGCCCAAGATTCATGATTGAGTGGGGATTTGAACTCTGGTCTTCCAGGTCCTAGCTTGTTTTGGGATGTGTTCTCAAGCCACCTGACTCCAGAAAACCTGATGCACCAAGGGCTTTTATCAGACTCACGCCATGCACGGTCACAGTTTCATGTCCTCTTGAACTCTCTATTTTGTTCTCATGTCTAAATCGATGGCCTTCCAAGGGAAAAGACAACATTGTGAAGGGCTGTAAAACTAGTGTGGGGAACGGTATACTAAAATATGTATCATTCTCTGTGTTTATGATGCTGACTGAGACATTACTGTAATTCAGTTTTACTGTATTCCATTTGACAGGTTCAGTGTGGCGACTTTCCTCATCTGTTAGTGTATGGGCCCTCAGGAGCTGGAAAAAAGACCAGAATAATGTGCCTGCTGAGAGAACTGTATGGCTCTGGAGTGGAGAAGCTGAGGATTGAACATCAGAGCATAACAGTAAGAATCTGCCCTAACTTCATATTTACAAAATGAGATAAAGATGTTGACTGTCAACATAATGCAGGGAAAAGCCAGCACATTTCAACACGTGCTAGTTTTTAATCTCCAAAAGTTGTCCGGCCTGGATGCATGAGGGCAAAGTGCATAGACTATATTTGTCTCCTAGGCCCGAGGTTCCTCACCCCCTGATGTCCAAAGGGGTACGCAGATCAGGGCAATCCAATAGCTCCAGTTCTGCCCCTTTCACTCCCAACTGCTGAGTGTTTCACATATAAGCTTGTTTACCTGAATGTATTTTCCAGCTTCCTCACAATTCTGCACTCTGGTAATGCGGGGGCTTGTTCAGGAAAACACACTTACAGGCCCCTTCAGACCTCCACCCTAAGTCTGCAAAGTTTGGAAGTGGAGAAGGCATGATCTCTTACCGCTTCTGCCTTCTGGAAGAAGGTATAGGGTTATAAAAACCAGGACTAGCCGCCTGAGAAACAGTTTCTACGCAAATGCAATTCTGGTTCTAAACGCAGCATAAGGAGTCTCTATAGTATATTGTATTTTAAAATGGGGTTTCAGAGTTTTTAGGGGTTTTTGAATGTTTTATGTAGATTTTCAATTTTGTTGTTCTGTGTGGGTCAATGACAATAAAGATATTGTATATCGCATGTCTGTGGCTGTCTACACACTTTTGCCCTTGTGTGTCCGGGCCTACAGGCAGTTTAAGCACCATTTCCACAGTTGGTTAAATAACCAGTGGCTGTTTCCTTCTATTATGAATTAGCACTTGATTAGGCTGTAAACATTCTGTGCTGGAGGAATTCTCCCTGGCGAATCACTGCCAAGGATTTACCGGTACTATTATCTCCCTTCAGTTGTGTGATATTTGAAATGATTTAGTCGGGCACTTAGCTTACATTTCCTGCTGTCTCAGGCTGAAGCCTGCAGTTAGTGTCAAGAAACCAGTTCGTCTTTATTGTGGGCTTCGCTGACTAATTATTATTGCTTTCTCACATGCCACCAATAACTTGATAAGAAGTATTTGCAAAGTGATGTTTTCAACAAACATAATGAACTCTTTGCATAGTTAGCTGCTTGGGGAGTGAAAACAGCCCCTGGAAAATCTATTACTAAAGATTTTCTTTCTATCAATTCAAAAATCTTTTTTGGGGGGAAAGCTTGCATTTTAATCAGCAAATTGCAAAGAGAGTGGTTAGTAATCAGCAGAGTTCTTGGAGAAGACAGATATTTCTAAAGCATTGTGCAAACGGTCTCTCTTGCCATTTTTATTTCTTTTTAAATTAAATTTTCCTGATTAAGTTAATAAGACATTATGGGAACATGTTGTGCCTGCAAACGTCTTAATGCTGGGGAGTTTTAAGTGGAACAGTTTGAAGTAGATAGTCTTTCAAAATATCAGCTTCCCTTCCTGTCAGATGCTCTCCTATCTGAGGGCCCTTTGGCATCTAGCTATGGGCGGAACTTGACAAATGTCTTTTTCATCATCTTCAAAATCCCTGCATATAAAGTAGTGGCATGTTATTAATATAAGCGCAGAAAGAGATGTGAAGGTTAGCACTTTTAAACTAAAATAGGGCAGAGCAGAATGATGCTGCAGTGTCTGTATAGCTTCATTTTGGAGTTTGATCTGAACTAGATAAGGTCTATTTAATCACCGTGGGTAAAAGGTATACTTGAAAGCCTTACTGTACATGTGAAGAATGTTTTTAGAGAAGTAGAATGAAGTTCTTATCAATATTATTAGTTCCTAAAATCGGAAGCGACGCAAGTGATGATTCAATGTACAAGAAATTGGGAACCTGTAATCTTCTTACAGAGAAGCTGGAAGTATAATGTAAAATCTCTATAAAGGTAAACGGACCCCAGACCATTAGGTCCATTGTGACCGAATCTGGGGTTGTGGTGCTCATCTCGCTTTATTGGCTTCCGGGTCATGTGGCCAGCATAACTAAGCCACTTCTGGTGAACCAGAGCAGCGCACGGAAACGCCATTTACCTTCCCGTCGGAGCGGTACCTATTTATTTACTTGCACTTGATGTGCTTTCAAACTGCTAGGTTGGCAGGAGCAGGGACCGAGCAACAGGAGCTCACCCCGTCACGGGAATTTGAACCGCTGACCTTCTGATTGGCAAGTCCTAGGCTCTGTGGTTTAACCCACAGCACCACCCACATCCCCTAAAATCTCTATAGATACCTCAAATGACTTTGCCCAAGGACAGTTGGTCATGGAACTGACCAGAAGGGCAATGACCCTGGACGTAACATATTTTTCCATGTATTGGACGAAGTTTTTTCACTCAAAATCACGTCAAGAAAACACGGGTCGTCCAATACACAGATAGTGGCATTAGGGGGGGGGAGAAGTGGTGCGGCGCCAGCCAGCTCGTTGGCGGGAGCGCAGCTTCCTGCAATGCCGCAGTGAGTGGGGAGTGATCTGGGGGGTGTTTCCTGCTTGCAACTATGTGGGGGAGGGGGAGAAGCTGCTCATTGCCAGCCAGCTTGTTGGCGGGAGCACAAATTCCCCCGATGCTGCAGTGGGCGCTCCCTGGATCGTTTCCCACGCGGCGGCACCAGAGGAGGTTGTGCTCCTGGGAGCGCAACTTCCCCCGCTGCCGCTGTCGCGGGAAACGATCTAAAGCAGCAGTTCTCAACCTGTGGGTCCCCAGATGTTGTTGGACTACAGCTCCCATCATCCCTGAGCTCTGGCCTTGCTAGCTAGGGGTGATGGGAGTCGTAGTTCAACAACATCTGGGGACCCCACAGGTTGAGAAAGGCTGATCTAGAGAGTGTTTCTTTTTTTTAAAAAAGATATTTATTGAGATTTTACAGAATGAAAAACGAAAAAAGAAAAATACAAAATAAAAATAGTTAAAAAACAATTCCATCTTTCCATCACTTATTTTTCATTTGCTTGTTTCCCAGACCTCCTCACACCTCCCTTTTTGTATTCCAATTCAATTTATTAGTTCAGCAAATCCTTTCCCTCTTTGTTTATCCTAGTCTTTAATCTTAAAATATTATAACATTAAATTTTTACCTGTTAATACTCAATTTTTTCATATTCCTTATAGCGTTATAGCTAAAAACCACTTAACTTTTTATCCAACATCATTCTAACATTCATTAATTTTACAATATTTCTGTAGATAGTCTTTAAATTTCTTCTAATCTTCTTCCACCGACTCTTCTCCCTGGTCTCGGATTCTGCCGGTCATTTCTGCCAGTTCCATATAGTCCATCACCTTCATCTGCCATTCTTCCAGAGTGGGTAGATCTTGTGTCTTCCAATACTTTGCAATAAGTATTCTTGCTGCTGTCGTGGCATACATAAAGAAAGTTCTATCCTTTTTTGGCACCAATTGGCCTACGATGCCCAGGAGAAAGGCCTCTGGTTTCTTCAAGAAGGTATATTTAAATACCTTTTTCATTTCATTATAAATCATCTCCCAGAAAGCCTTAATCCTTGGGTACGTCCACCAAAGGTGAAAGAATGTACCTTCAGTTTCTTTACATTTCCAACATTTGTTATCGGGCAGATGATAGATTTTTGCAAGCTTGACTGGAGTCATGTACCACCTGTATATCATTTTCATAATATTCTCTCTTAAGGCATTACATGCCGTAAACCTCATACCTGTGGTCCATAACTGTTCCCAGTCAGCAAACATAATATTGTGTCCAATAATATTGATCTAGAGAGTGTTTCCTGCCCACAGCGGTGTGGGGGGAGAGGCTCAACAACTTGGGGCCATCTCCCCTCATTTTCTTAAAATTGATTCCCCAAAATAGGGGGCATCTTATAGAAGGGGGTGTCCTACAGACGGAAAAATATGCCCGGGATCCAGTGTGAGAAGTGTTGGTGAAATGGTTTGGAACAGTAACCATAGTGCTATTAAATGAAATATATGCGTAAATGAAGAGTTGCGTAGAGAACCCAACATGGTCACATTTGACCTCAAAAGAGCGATCTTCCTCCAAATGAGGTGGTTGGTAAGAAAGAAAGCTGAAAGACAAGGACAAAAGTGTCAAATATCCCCAAAATGCTTGTGAGTTGCTTAAAACCACAATATTAGAAGCTGAACTGGATACTGAAGATCATGAACTGGTGGTGACTGATCAGGAACAAGTCCTTGGGGTCATAGTGTCTAACTTGATTGAGATGTCAACCCAGTATACAGCAGCTGCGAAAAGAGCTGGAACGCCATGCTAGGGATCATTAGGGATCATTAGGAAAGGAAGGGAAAACAAACAATATCATAAGGCTGCTATACAAATCTGTACAGTTCTGGTCACCACAACTCCAAAAGGATATTGTAGAGCGGTAACAGGTTTTAGAAAAGGGCAATGAAAATGTTTCCAAGGATGCAGCAACTTCCTTATGAGGAGATTTGGGGTGCTTTTTAGTTTAGAGAAAAGGCAAGCCAGAGGCAGACTGATAGAAGTGCATAAGATTATTCATGAACCCAGCTTTGGACAACATGACAAGTCAGTTTCATGGCAGAGAAGGAGAAGGAACTTCTGAATAGTGAGCTTGACCACACTGCTCATTTGCATGAAACCTTAGTTTTAAACTATGATTTAAAGCGACGTGCGACCTGGGGCACATCCCATCCTTCCCAAGAGGTTAGCATGCTGCTTGAATTTGAGAGCTTTGAACCCAGGGTGTTACCCTTTTCCTTGCATGCCATTCCACCTGCCGCCATTTTCACGCTGAGTCTCTTTATTTCGTAGTTTCCCTGGTGCATTGCATCCTGGGTGCCGTTAAAAGCCCTTCAAGTCCTTCAACTCAGTTCATGCTAAGCAGTTAGCAGTGGGTGGTTTTTGAAGCCTGTATTCATAACCCACTGATTTCAGCTAAGTCTTTCCATCACTGATCTCTTTAAAATGCATTTTTTGTTTAATAATCTTTCTTTTCAGGCGCCTTCTAAAAAGAAGATTGAAATTAGCACTATTGCCAGCAACTATCACCTTGAAGTTAACCCAAGGTATGTTTGCAGTAAGCTCACAAGATCCAGTAAGAGGCTGTGGGAATTTTGCAATTCTTATAATTTTCAGAGGAGTAAATTTTATAGCCCATTACAGCAAAAACTACTGAGGTGCTAGAAGACCCTTGTTTTATTGTTGCAATTTTAAAGCTAGCTCCAGCTTTACTGTTAAAGAAACCAAAGTACATTTGTAAGTTGGATCCCGAATGCCTTGCGACTTGAACGTTTTGGCTCCTGAACGCCGGAAGTGAGTGTTCTGGTTTGCGAATGTTCTTTGGAACCCGAACGTCCGACGCAGCTTCTGATTGGCTGTAGGAGTTTCTTGCAGCCAATCAGAAGCCACGCCTTGGTTTCCGAACCAGCGGACTTCCGGAATGGATTCCTTCGTCTTCCGAGGTATGGCTGTATATCTTTAAGGAATTGTTCGCATATGTGGCCCTCCAGCCCTCTCTGTCTGGCCCTTGGGACCCTCCCCAGCCATGCACTGCACCCTCCTTGAGTATCATATTTTAATCTGAACTTATTTTCAGTGATGCAGGAAACAGTGACCGGGTGGTAATTCAGGAATTACTGAAGACATTAGCTCAGTCACAGCAACTTGAGACAAGCACCCAGCGAGATTTTAAAGGTCTGTAAATGAGCAATAACCTTGAAGAAAAATATATTGCAATACTTTGCACAAGATCAGCCATGTGCTTTGAATATTGTAAATTCTTTATATTCTCCAGCTCTTTTTGTCTTCTTTCACTTTTAGAGATACAAAATTTCCAGAAATATTTGTAGTTCCCCAACAGAAATGCATGTATTTCAGAAATGAGGGGGGAAATTGAAATACCGTATTTTTTGCACCATAACACTCACTTTTTTCCTCCTAAAAAGTAAGGGGAAATGTCTGTGCGTGTTATGGAGGGAATGCCTATGGGTGGCATGCCTACGGATTTTCCTCCTCTAAAAACTACGTGCGTGTTATGGTCGGGTGCGTGTTATAGAGCAAAAAATATGGTACTTGTGTTCTAGATAATAGTGTAAAGGTAAAGGTACCCCTGCCCGTACGGGCCAGTCTTGACAGACTCTAGGGTTGTGCGCCCATCTCACTCAAGAGGCCGGGGGCCAGCGCTGTCCGCAGACACTTCTGGGTCACGTGGCCAGCGTGACATCGCTGCTCTGGCAAGCCAGAGCCACACACGGAAACCTTCCCGCTAGTAAGCGGTCCCTATTTATCTACTTGCACCCAGGGGTGCTTTCGAACTGCTAGGTTGGCAGGCACTGGGACCGAGCAGCGGGAGTGCACCCCGCCGCGGGGATTCGAACCGCCGACCTTTCGATCGGCAAGCCCTAGGCGCTGAGGCTTTTACCCACAGCGCCACCCGTGTCCCCAGATAATAGTATATATAGCTCCAATTGATTTCTGTAATTGTAATAATTGTCCAAAAGATCTATAGCTGTTGATGTTTGAATTTTTGCTCTGAGCTTCATGGTATTCAGAAAGTGGGAGGTTTGCATGTTGTTAGAAGGCGTCTAGACTCTTCTCACCTATTGATTCTTCTGAGACTTTGTACAGTGGTGCCCCGCAAGACGAACGCCTCGCAAGACGGAAAACCCGCTAGACGAAAGGGTTTTCCGTTTTGGAGGCGCTTCGCAAAACGAATTTCCCTATGGGCTTGCTTCGCAAGACGACAGCCCATAGGGAAATCTCCGGGACAGCGGGGAAGCGCAGCGTGTCTTCCCCACTGTCCTCGGACCTCCTCCGAAGCCTGGCGGCGGGGCGGGAACACCTCCTCCCGCCGCCGCCGGGCTTCGGAAGGCTCCTCCGAAGCCTGGCGGCGGGGCGGGAACACCTCCTCCCGCCGCCGCCGGGCTTCGGAACGATGCTCCGAAGCCGGGCGGCGGGGAGGGAACACCTCCCCCCGCCGCCCGGCTTCCGAACGATGCTCCGAAGCCGGGCGGCGGGGAGGGAACACCTCCCCCCGCCGCCCGGCTTCCGAACGATGCTCCGAAGCCGGGCGGCGGGGTGGGAACGCCTCCCGCCGCCGCCCGGTTTCCGAACGATGCTCCGAAGCCGGGCGGCGGGGAGGGAACGCCTCCCCCCGCCGCCTGGCTTCCGAACGATGCTCCGAAGCCGGGCGGCGGGGCGGGAACACCTTCTGAAAGCTGGCGGGGGGCAAAAATCTTTGTTCCCCCCTGCCTGCCTTCCCGGGAGAGCGGAGAAACGCAGCGCGTTTCTCCGCTGTCCCGGACGGCTTTTGAAGGCAGGCGGGGGGGAGCAAAGACTTTCGCCCCCCGCCCGCCTTCAGAAGAGGTCCTGGACCTCTTTTGAAGGCTGGCGGGGGGCAAAAGTCTTTGTCCCCCCTGCCTGCCTTCCCAGGGGTTTTTAAATCGCCCCGGACAGCGGAGAAGTTCTCCGCTGTCCCGGGGCAATTTTAAAATGCCGCCCGCCAGCATTTTAAGATCGCCCCGGACAGCGGAGAAGTCCTCCGCTGTCCCGGGGTTTTTTAAAATGCTGGGGGTGGGAAGAAAAGCCCTTGTTTCCCCCCCCCCCCAGCCTTCAGAAGAGGTCTGAAGGCGGTTTCCATAGGAACGCATTAATTGATTTTCAATGCATTCCTATGGGAAACCGTGCATCGCAAGACGAAAAACTCGCAAGACGAAGAGACTTGCGGAACGAATTAATTTCGTCTTGCGAGGCACCACTGTATTCTCAAAATACTCTATGGTTCCCTTCGCTTAGGAACCTAGGAAGCTGCCTTATACCCAGTGAGATCCTTGGTCCATCTAGCTCCATATGGTCTGCACTGACTGGCAGGGGCTCTCCAGGGTTTCAGGCAGGCAGTCTTTTGCAGTCCTACTTGCAAATGTCTCAAAGGGGACCTTCTGCATGCAGAGTAGAATGGTCTATTGCTGAGCCTGATCTGGCAGATAGAATCAGAGGCAGATTATCTGTTTGCATGAGGGCAATATTGCAGTAGCAATATGCTTGGCAAACTTCCAGGCTACATGAGAGACTCTTGGTTTTGCAACATTTGAAACTCCCCACGCCCCTGTAGAGCAGGCATCGGCAAACTCTGGCCCTCCAGATGTTTGGACTACAATTCCCATCATCCCTGACCACTGGTCCTGTTAGCTAGGGATGATGGGAATTGTAGTCCCAAAACATCTGGAGAGCTGGAGTTTGCCTGTGCCTGCTGTAGAGCATCCGCTCTTAAGCTTATTGCAGCCAAATGCAGTCTTCAGTTTACAGTGTTGATTTTTTAATAGCAACGGTATCATCATTACTACCTGTAAAGGTTGGTTCTCTGGCCTCTGAATCCAGTGACATGAATTGTGTAACTAAGAACAAGCGCTTGACATAGCTTCTTCTTTTTTCTGCCTCCCTCCCAAGTCCCTTTCCTTGTGTGTCCTGTCGTTTAGATTGTAAGCCTGAGGGCAAGGACTCTTTATTTCTGATCTCTGTAAGCTGCTCTGGGAGCCTTTTCAGCTGAAGAGCTGGGTAAAAAATGCTTTAAACAAATACCTTTTGAACCTTGGATATAAAAGATTTGCAGCAGTGTGCTTTGGCTCTGTAACAATATTCATTCATCGGGTTCAGCTGATCATCAGTTTTCTTTGGCTGAACTAAGCTGGCTTTTTTGTCATTATTCTTGGTGGGAAGTGGCAATGTAGTGTTACTTTTTTATTTTTATTTTTTGCAAAAGTAGCACCAGCTCAAGCCAATTCCTGACTTGTCACACTCACTCATACAGAATAAGGAAGACATTTCATTGTACTGCAATTTCATGCATATGTAAATACTTTCTAATCACATGGACGAGGTTGAATGTAGAGTCTCTGTATCTCTCCGCTCCCCCACCACTGCTATGTAGTACCTTCCTTCCTGGTAAAGTGCTTCTCTCATGGGAAAGACCCATGTGAACATAGGAAGCTACCATATAAGCAAGTCATACATATTGTTGGACTACAACTCCCATCAGCCCCAGCCAGCATGGCTAAGTGGTCACAGATGATGGGCACTGTTGTCCAACAACACTTGGAGAATACTAGGATGGTCTGCACCAACTTGCAGTCGTTCTCCAGAGTTTTAAACAGGATCCTTTCTTAGCCCTTACCTGGAGATGCTGGAAATAGCAAGTGGAAGATCCCGGGTTCAAAGCAATGTCAGAGGCATCCCAGTTGCAAGAACCCCTCTTCTGTGCTGTTGTGGCTAAGCCAACCATTCCCTGGCTGTTTCAGGCGATGTGCCTTTCCCAGACATATGGCTAGAATATTTACACAAACTGCCATCAGCGCAGGATTGCACCGTGGGGAAGCACCTCCCGGGAACTTCAGCGGAAGAGGCACAAGTGGGAAGGTTTTCTCTAATCCTGCCCCATTGTATCAGCAGAAGCGAAAAGACAAGTTAAGATAGACTCTGTGAGAGCATGATAAAGGTTGGCTTTGTTTTGTTTTGTTTTTCAGTGGTGCTGTTGACTGAAGTGGACAAGCTTACAAAAGATGCCCAGCATGCGTTGCGCCGAACCATGGAGAAGTATATGGCTACCTGCAGATTAATTCTGTGCTGCAATTCTACATCGAAAGTCATTGCACCTATCCGGAGCAGGTGCCTTGCAGTGCGAGTGCCTGCGCCCAGCATTGAAGATGTAGGTTCAAGGCAATGGCAGACAGACAGCCCTTCAGTGCACTTGCATTTTACTCTGTGTCATGTTGGATGCAACAAGTTTAAATACCTGATTTGGGATTCCTTGTTCTTCGTTTCCCCCTGACTCTGTCTGCCTAGTTAATCCTGTTTCTGTGTGCATGGAACACTTCCAAATTAGGTTCCCCTTTACAGTACTTTGCATGACTGCGGTTTTCTTCAAAAATGTGGGTTGTAATTTTTATTTGTTTAGCAAGGATTGGAATGGGGCAGAAGTGTCTGTGGACTAAGAAATAGCTGGACACCTAATGGTAGGTAATATGTCACGGGAGGGAGGTAAAGAACTGTTGGAGGTCTTTGAAACGCCATCACTTTGCCACCAATGCTTAGTTCCAAGCATTCTCTAGTCCACACTTCTCCATGCATTTCTCTGAAACTAGAAAATACCACTTAGAATTTGTTAAGTAGTTGCTGAAGGCACTTTATCAACTTATCTGTGTATTTTTTACAACCCTGTGAGGTCGGCTAGTAGTATGTCTGTCTCACTGCTACTGTAAAGAATACAGGGAGCACTTGCTGGTGTGGTTTGTCCCTGGCTCAAGGAGCAGCAGGAAGGAATGTATTCCTTCATGGAGGAATGCGCTTGGGAAGGCATCGCTTTGCTCTTACCTGGTACCCAGGAGGGCTGGCAAATGAGGCTTGTGGCAAGGAAGAGGTGACTCAGAAGGTGGGCGCAGGTCACCTGCAAGCATTATTTGTAAAACTGGCTCCTTTGTGCCTTCACGTATCCTTTTATAATATAGAGACTTCCCCTGTAGCTGGCTGCTGCAGCAATTTTGACTAGAGAGGAGAGACAGTGATACCTCGGGTTAAGTACTTAATTCGTTCTGGAGGTCCGTTCTTAACCTGAAACTGTTCTTAACCTGAAGTACCACTTTAGCTAATGGGGCCTCCTGCCGCCGCACCGCCGGAGCACAGTTTCTATTCTCATCCTGAAGCAAAGTTCTTAACCCGAGGTACTATTTCTGGGTTAGCAGAGTCTGTAACCTGAAGCGTATGTAACCTGAAGCGTATGTAACCCGAGGTACCACTGTACTTGGAATTTTTGGAAAGCGAGGCACCATGCAAAACTATTAATTGCCCTGTTGAATCTCTAGATCTGCAACGTATTGTCCGTTGTGTGTAAGAAGGAGGGTCTGGTTCTTCCTCGAGAACTCGCTCAGAGGATTGCAGAAAAGTCCGGCCGAAATCTCCGAAAGGCCCTTCTGATGTGTGAGGCATGCAGGGTGCAACAGTAAGTCCAGAAGAATGGGTGAATACAGGAGGGAGTTTTGGTTACAAAAGGGCTGTTTGTTTGTTTGTTTGTTTGCTTGTTTGTTTTGTATTTAAGCAAGTCCTCGCTGTTTGTTGCACAGGTATCCTTTCACTCCAGACCAAGACATTTCCGAGACGGACTGGGAGGTATATCTGAGAGAGACGGCAAACGCCATTGTTGGTCAGCAGACCCCGCAGAGGTAGGGGACAGTGCCTAGCTGTAAAATGGATGGTGCTTGTAAGTTGTCTGATATTAAAATGCAGCGTAGCAGTTTAATACTGTGTGTGCTAGAATGTCTAGACAGACTGCATTTCCAGGAACTTGATAAAAACCCGGTAGGAGTTGATTGAAGTAAATTTCAGGCTGATGAGGTCATTACCTTGGTCATTAAGGTATTAAACATGGTTTTATATCGGTGTGTCAATGTTTGGGGGAAAAGATTTCTGAAAGCGGATAGTTAACAGCATGCAGGAATCCTGAAAATGCTGCACAGCCTTGCAGCCAAAAGCATGTGCATGTGCATGGTATGAAGAAGATCCCAGGTTCACTTCCAGTTAAAAGAAGCAGGTAGCTGGTAATGGAAAACACTGTTCTCTTCCTGAGATCCTGGAAAACCGCAGCCAATCAGAATACACAAAACTGGGCTTAGATGGGCAAGTGGTCTCACCTGGTCTAAAGTGGCAACCTGTGTTCCTAAACAAATCTGCTGCAGGCAGTAACATACAGTATTCTGCCCCCTGGGCACCTAAAGCTTATATATTTTTTAAAATTCCAGTTTCTGATGCGGTTCCTTCATGGAAATTCTTGTTGTTTTGGAGCAGATCACAGTAGCTACTAGCCACGATGGCTATGGTTTCAGTGTTTGAAATTAGCCAGGTGCATTTTGCACTCGCAACCAAGCGAAGATGCCTGGGCGACAGGATGGTGCCTGGCAGCTCTGCTGTATGGAGGTGCTTGCTTGTAGAATTCTATCGGTTAAATTTTATCTTCACAATCAGACTGAATTTCAAGAACCAAATTGCTTTTTCTGTGCAGCCTGAGCAGGGCTGCCTTCAGATGTCTTCTAAAAGTTTGGTAGTTATTTTTTCTTTGACATCTGGTGGGAGGGCGTTCCACAGGGTGGGTGCCACTACCGAGAAGGCCCTCTGCCTGGTTCCCTGTAACTTGGCTTCTCACAGTGAGGAACCACTAGAAGGCCCTCGGCACTGGACTGAAAAAGAGGTCCGAATAGGCCAACACATACTTCTTTAAGTTCTCAGAGCTCTTAACCCAGCTCAAGGTTGTCATCTGAATTAGCCAGATGTTCACCACAGAGAAACTTCAACTGTGTATTATTTCCAATTTCTTTGTGAGGAAAGAGTAGCAGTCATGTACTCAGATAGCTGGGCTTGGTGGAGTCTCGGTTATTTTCCAGCAAGGACGTTCCTATGGTATGTAGTGCGCAAAATAACTCACTGGGATGTCAAGTTCCAGTTAGCAGCCATCTTTGATAATCTAAAAACAGCTGCAATGAACCAGGCTGTTGTAAAACAAACTTGCTTGCTCAGTGCAATGAAGCATTTCCAGCTGGATCGGATGAGAGCATCTTTGTTTGTTTGTGCTGTAAAACTTTTTCTTTTCAGCCAATGAAGTGCTCTGGTGTTGGCACTCGTTTGTCGCTGCCCTCTTTACAGCTGCCAGCCATTTGTCTAGCTTTAGATATATTGCATTGGCAGAAACAAAATGACATCCTGTCACGGTGAATTTGGAGCACTGAATCCTTCCTTGCTGTGAACGGATGATACCGTTAGTCATGTGTTCTGCTGCTGATCTCATTAAAACTCTTAAGAGATACGGCAGCGTGTGAAGTGGGCCACGTTTGCACCATACATTTAAAGCCACTATTTATATGGCTTCTTGGCAGCTGTAGTTCGTTAAGGATGCTGAGAGTTGTTAGGAGACCTCTGTTCCCCTCACAGAGCTACAGGTTCTTAAAAACCCCTGGAAAGAGGGATTGATTGTTAAACTTCTCTGCTGAACTCCCAGAATTCTTTGGGAAAAGCCATGACCTTTCAAGGTCATAATAGTTCTTTAAATGTGTGGTGCAGATATATGAATGTTTTCAACACAGATTCCCCTCTGTGTGGTCCTTTTTGATGTGAGCTATTTTTTACTTGTTGCTTTAGGCGTAGAAAAAGAGGTGGCTGCCTACAATTCCATGATTGCTCTTCACAATTTATTTATTTTTTAACCTGTGTGCCCTCTTACCTACCATCTTACAGCAAGCCGCCTAATTTTAGAACACATCCTGCATCTTTGGACAATAGCAGCTCTGTGGTTGTGAAATAACTGGTACCCTATTAGCTCGGTACCAGGCTAGCATTTGCTGAAATGGAGGAGCAGGGCCTTTGAAGCTGCCTATAAGAGACATGGGGATGTGGGTGGTGCTGTGGTCTAAACCACTGAGCCTTGGTTGGCGGTTCGAATCCCCGCAACAGGGTGAGCTCCCGTTGCTCGGTCCCTGTTCCTGCCAACCTAGCAGTTCGAAAGCACGTCAGAGTGCAAGTAGATAAATAGGTACCGCTGTGGTGGGAAGCTAAATGGCGTTTCTGTGTGCTGCTCTGGTTTCGCCAGAAGTGGCTTAGTCATGCTGGACACATGACCCGGAAAAACTGTCTGCGGACAAATGTCGGCTCCCTCGGCCAGTAAAGCGAGATGAGCGCTGCAATCCCAAAGTTATCGTGACTGGACTTTACTGTCAGGGGTCCTTTACCTTTACCTTTTTATAAGAGACTATTGGGGTTGAATGACGCAGGTGCCAGTAAAATCCAGGGCCAGGAGAAAGTTGTTTTTAATTCCAAGGTACCTGCCTCATCATTTCTTTTCAACACTCAGGATTTTAAAAGGTGCATATAGACAAAACGGCTCCCCACTGCCAGCAAGAGACATTGACAACTGTCACGTTAACTACAGAGCTGCTGCCAACTGTTGTGGCTTGTAGATGGTTTCCTGTCATTTCAAGCAACCCAACAAGCATTTTGAGACTTCCTTGTGTTGGACCATGACATGTTAGAGAAGTTTGTCGCTGTTGTAAGCCTTGTTTAGAAATTGCAGAGCACTGACTATGCTGCTGTTAACAAGCTGTTCCACTTGGAAAACGTGGCTCAGGAGAATAGAATTGCAGGATTGCTTGCTAGCTTTGGCAGTTGGCCAGCTTTAGGCTTTCAGATTCAGGCGATTATTCAGGGTGATCAAAACAATTATACCAGGTATCTCAAAATTAGGTACGCTGGCATCCTCAAAATTTCTCTTATAGTGTCTTCTTATAATTTCTCTTATAGTTCCTTATAAGAGGAAAAACTTGTTTTGCTACTGGAAATGTTGGCATACTTAATTAAATCACTTGGCGTTCCAGTGAATTGGCATAGGAAGCATAATACAAATAATATATTTCTTTCAAATATGTTAAATATATTTCAAATATCTTTTTCTACAAGGCTGCCTTTCACCAGGCAACCTAAATTTGCCTTTGTGTCTCCACAAGAACACTTCAAGGTGTAGTGTAGAACCTGGCATGTTAGACATGGGGTTATATTAACAAATGCCACCACATTAGTGCTTTTTAATAAATGAAACAAAGTTAAAATTTGAGTAAAAAGATGAAGGCAGTTCTTAGGGAAAAAATTAAGCACAAGGGAAGTTAACATGCACAGAAAAGTATTCCACCCAATGGAGCAAAAAGTAAATGTTAAATATAGCCCAGCTCTCCCTGCCTAGACATAGTCCCTTAACACTATCGACTGATGTCCAGTTTCCCAAATTTTAAAAGCTCCAGTTCCTTTGTCTGCTGAGATCATGCCTTTATCTGCTCATGCATTCTTCTGAGTCTCTAAATATACCCTCTGGCTACATGACTCTTATGCTTCCCGAGCCACAAAAACTCAAGGAGCACGAAGGTCTTCTCTTCATTCCTAACTACAGAGATGCTCCCCTCATCTGCAGGCTTAACAAGTTTAACCCCTACATGCAATATTTGTATATATTTTTTACAAATAAACAGCATTTCCGTGTGCTCTGGCACTCGTCACTGGTGCAGGGAAAAGAGGAGCCTTGGAATCCAGCAGAGCCAGACACCCAGAGCACCCTTTTTCAGGGCCTACGGCTGGTAGATCTATGCCCACAGAGCTTTAAGTGGGCATAGTCTGAGGTCCCTCACCAACAAAGTTTTTCTTTGCCAGTAGAGATGCATCCCTGATCCATCCCTAACCCCTTCCAGCCTGGAGTTCTTGGGGCTATGTGCATCCGTGATTTAAAAAGCAAAAACAAATTGAGCTTGAATGTTTTGAGAACTGAATTTTCTGACTTGGTAATTTGACAGATTGTCATACCTGCCTATATATATATATGAATGAAATAAAAAGACTTAAAAGCCAGTTACTAAACCTTAAAACTTTGCATTACAGGGTGTTAAAAACCAAGCATTAACTTTCCAATGATTTTATTTTAATAGGCTCCTGGAAGTTCGTGGGCGACTCTATGAACTCTTAACCCATTGCATTCCTCCAGAGATTATAATAAAGGTAACTGATGTTGTGATTATTAATTTGTTTAGTAACAGAGACCAGGATTAAATGGAAGCGTGGGATGCACGTGTTAATCATTTTTATTTTTCACCGTTCATAGTGCAGCCTAGATAGCTCAGTTGGTTAAGAGCGTGGTGCTGATGACACCAAGGTTGCAAGTTTGATCCCTGCAGCTGCATATTCCTGCATTGCAAGGGGTTGGACTCATCAGGGTCTCTTCCAACTCTACAGTTCTCTGATTCAATGATAGTGCTCTGCATCTTGTAATTCCATTCCTAATTCCTGGGGCATCTGGGACCAGATATATATTGCATATCTCTGTAAATGTGATATTAACAGTTCTGTTATTTGTATGACAATGTCCCCCCTCCTACCAAATCGGAGATTATCATTTGAATGGCTTGATTCTCACAGGGTAACTTTCTGGATTGTTGAGTGCCCATGGTACCCATAACATTCTAGGGAGTGGAGCCTTCAATTCTCTCACTGTTGGCTATTGCTCATTTTAGGGCCTTCTGACTGAACTTCTGAACAATTGTGATGGACAACTGAAAGGAGAGGTTGCACAGATGGCAGCTTTCTATGAGCACCGGCTGCAGCTGGGCAGCAAGGCCATTTATCACCTGGAAGCATTTGTGGCTAAGTTTATGGCCATCTATAAGAAGTTTATGGAAGACGGACTAGAAGCCATGATGTTCTGATATGTTGCTTTGAGAACCCTCATGTTTTTTGGGATGCTGACAAGTTCTGTCGAGAAAGCTGTACAAACCACAGGTCACCGGTACATTTCTGTGTTGGACAATAAAATACTAAGTGCTGAATTCGAGGTGTTCTGAAATAGTTCCACGTGGCCTTTTACGTCCAAACTGCTTTAGGAAACAAGAAGTCACAGACTTGGCAGCAGGGAAGTGCCAGGATCCTGGAATGCTTTTGCCTCAAGAGGTAGTCCTAATTACATTGGTACCTCAGGTTACATACGCTTCAGGTTACAGACGCTTCAGGTTACAGACTCCGCTAACCCAGAAATAGTACCTCAGGTTAAGAACTCTGTTTCAGGATGAGAACAGAAATCATGCTCCAGCGGCGCAGCAGCAGCGAGAGGCCCCATTAGCTAAAGTGGTGCTTCAGGTTAAGAACAGTTTCAGGTTAAGAACGGACCTCCGGAACGAATTAAGTACTTAACCTGAGGTACCACTGTACTTTGGGTCTGGAACATGATTGTGAGCCTCAGTCTTGGGAGTTTTCAAATGTGCCATCTTGAATAGGCTTCATGATGGTGGGAGATGGAAAAATCTGTTGCAGCTTTAAGGCTCCGTCTGCGCTATGCACTTGAAGCTGTATCATACCACTTTAAACAGCCATGGCTTCCCCCAAAGAATCATGGGAAGTGTCGCTTGTTAAGGGTGTTGAGATGCCAGTTCTCCTCACATTACAATTCTCAGACTGGGCTAACAATCAACTCCTTTTCCTAGGGAACCCTGGAAACTAGCTTTGAGGGGAACAGACATCTTCTCTAACAACTCTCAACACCCTTAACAAACTACATTTTTAATGATTCTTTGGCTTAAGGTATGACTGTTGAAAGTGGTACGATACTGCTTTAAGTGCATAGTGCAGATGGGGCTTTGCAGCCGTAGCTTAAGCATATTTACCTAGAAGTAATGAACCTGAGTTCAGTGGCACTGAGTTTAGTTGGCCAGGCATGATGGGAGTTGTAGTCAGACAACATCTAGTAGGCCACATGTTCCCCATGTAGTTATTGTTAATATTTCCGAGTTGTTTAAATATTTGTCCGAGCAATATTCTAGTACTTGATATTGGCTTAAGGATCAGTAATTAAATATTGTATTCTAGTTTGGATCCTCTCTGATCCCTGGAATGGAGAGGGGAAAAGCCACTTTAATATTAAATTTATTATATATGTGTGTATATACGCAGGTGGCGCTGTGGGTTAAACCACAGAGCCTAGGACCTGCTGATCAGAAGGTCGGCGGTTTGAATCCCCGCGACGGGGTGAGCTCCCATTGCTTGGTCCCAGCTCCTGCCAACCTAGCAGTTCGAAAGCACATCAAAGTGCAAGTAGATAAATAGGTACCGCTCCGGCGGGAAGGTAAACGGCGTTTCCGTGCGCTGCTCTGGTTCGCCAGAAGCGGCTTAGTCATGCTGGCCACATGACCCGGAAGCTGTACGCCAGCTCCCTTGGCCAGTAAAGTGAGATGAGCGCAGCAACCCCAGAGTCAACTGTGACTGGACCTAATGGTTAGGGGTCCCTTTACCTTTATATGTGTATATATTCACTGAAGGCAAGGTAAACTGCTTCTAAGGAGAAGAAAAAGGAGATTGCAGTTTGTCCACTTGGTATGTATTATGCAGCCTGCTTCTAAGCATGTTTACTCAGACATAAGTACCACAGAGTTCAATGGGATTTGCTCTCGGGTGCATTGAACTGCAGCCTTAATTTCAAAAAGTAATTCAAAATGTACAATTGATAGAAGATGGGTAGGAAGAAAATACAATACTGAAGCAATAGGACTTACAATGCCCTCCGAGAAAGATTTTATTTTAACTTCTTGTTGTTAAATAGTTTCATTTCTCCAAGGATAAATAGAATAGACCTTGATAACTATCATTTTATCAGTATTGTCAAGTCTGAAATACATTAATTCACCAGAGTAGGTGCAGCGAAAATGAACGTTTAAATGGTTTCCTTCTTTAGGGAGATACAGAGTAGGAATGAAAACAATTTAAGATAATTAAAATTGGTGCTAACTGCCTCACTTTTCAGTGGTAAATCAGTTTAACTGTGCAGTCTGGAAAAAGCAACCGTGTGCACCTAACATTAGCATTGGGAAGCGTTAGGATAGGTGTACAGTGTTCCAAACAAAGTCTTCTGCAGTTGAAAACTGAGCTTTTCCAGCTCGAATCTCACCTTTCTAGCCAGGTTTTGTTCATAATGGGAAGCTTCACTGCATATGGCCCTTGATCATCTGCTACAGGGGATCCAGCATAATGAGGTGGCAGATCCTAAGATAGTATGATGGACTGTACACAATTTCAAGCTACAACTGGAGAAACACATTAAGAACATAAGAAGAACCTTCTGGTATGGCCAACCAGATGCCTTTGGGAAGCCTTCAGGCAAGACCTGAGCATAACAGCACTGCCCACCTGTGATTCCCAGCAGAAACTGCTAATTCCAAGGCATATTATCTCTGACAGTGGAGGTGGAATATAGCCATTGTTGTTAGTCTCATGCACGAATTTGTCTAATCTTTTAAGAGCATTCTTTTTCAGGCTAAAGATAATTCTGCAAGTAGAAAACCCAATAGATCGCAGAAGGGGACGAGCTGGAGTTTTTCTCCCTCCAGGAACAAGCTTTCTCCTTAACATTTCTTAAGGACTCTCCTTCTCCTCTGGGCATTCTCAAAAGGCTCAGCCCATCTCTAGATTCTATCATCTCATTCTGCTGCTACTTAGCAATGGAGGTGGCACATGGGCCTGCGCAATCCCAGCCACATTGCAAGAAGAAGAGGAGGAGTTTGGATTTGATATCCCGCATTATCACTACCCGAAGGAGTCTCAAAGTGTCTCACAATCTCCTTTCCCTTCCTCCCCCACAACAAACACTCTGTGAGGTGAGTGGGGCTGAGAGACTTCAGAGAAGTGTGACTAGCCCAAGGTCACCCAGCAGCTGCATGTGGAGGAGCGGGGAAGCAAACCCAGTTCACCAGACTACGAGTCTACCGCTCTTAACCACTGCACCACACTGGCTCACAGGTGATAGGTGATTAGTGCACATTGCCCTAAGAATACAGTGGTACCTCAGGTTTAGTACTTAATTCGTTCCGGAGGTCCGTACTTAACCTGAAACTGTTCTTAACCTGAAGCACCACTTTAGCTAATGGGGCCTCCCGCTGCCACTGTGCCGCTGGAGCACGATTTCTGTTCTCATCCTGAAGCAAAGTTCTTAACCTGAAGCACTATTTCTGGGTTAGCGGAGTCTGTAACCTGAAGCGTATGTAACCCGAGATACCACTGTAATGCTGTGGGACAGATTTCCTCTGCTTCACACACTGTTCCCAATCCAGCAAGGGTGCCCTTCGGTCGGAGTCCACTTTGCAGAAGTATTTCCCTGGCTGTATTAGGGTGATGAACTATAAACAACCCAATCTTGAGAGTGTCAGTGCCTTCTATTAATCTTTTATACTTCTGCTCGAATGCCTTGTTTAACTTGCATATCCTCCGAGAGTCTATTTCTTCTTGCTATCTCGTTGTGAATAAGTAGGTTTGTTTGACAATTATTTTAAGTAGACATTTCCTCAAATGGCCACAAGCAGTGCAAAAAAGAGAGGCACAAAGTCAAGCCAACTCAACAAAAAAAGCCCCACTTAGTAAAAAACAGTTCATTTTGGTACTTGCTAGCAATAGAAAAGGCAGTTCTTAGAAAGCCCAAAATTGTATCCATTATGTGCCATGCACGCTTTTCAAAATATTTGGAGAAGACAGTATCAGGCACACATACAATACTGCTTTCTAAAGTTTCAGTTAGTCATCACTAAAGAATTAAAATGCTAAAGTGTGTGTCCACTGAGAACGTCCACCTAAGGTGCCAAACAGCCTTTGCACTTTTGAACAGTCAGTGTATGATCAATATATCAAAGGCATAGGGTTTGTTTTAGGAAACTAAATTGAAAAAAGTAAAACAGATGAGGCCTTTGTTAATCTATGGCCTAGATCTAATGGCCTTGGCCCAGTATACCTGAAGGAGCGTCTCCTGAAGGAGCATCATTCAACCCGGACACTGAGGTCCAGCTCCGAAAACCACCTGGTGGTTCCCTCACTGTGAGAAGTGAGGTTACAGGGAAGCAGGCAGAGGGCCTTCTCGGTAGTGGCGCCCACCCTGTGGAATGCCCTCCCATCAGATGTCAAAGAAATAAACAACTATCTGACGTTTAGAAGACACCTGGAGGCAGCCCTGTTTAGGGAAGTTTTTAATGACTGATGTTTTAATGTATTTTTCATCTTTTTTTGGAAGCCGCCCAGAGTGGCTGGGAAAACCCAGCCAGATGGGCAGAGTATAAATAAATTATTAATAATTAATTAATTAATTAATTAATTAATTCAACTCAACGGCTCTCTATTTGGAGCTTTTGCATCCTGCTCTTCAGCTGAAAATCCTGACGAAGTGTCTTAGAAGCAACCAATTAAACTAGCCCTACTCCCAGGCTCACAATCTAAATAGGGCTTCCTCAACCTTGGCCCTCCAGATGTTTTGAGACTACAATTCCCATCATCCCTGACCACTGGTCCTGCTAGCTAGGTATCATGGGAGTTATAGGCCCAAAATATCTGGAGGGCTGAGGTTGAGGAAGCCTGATCTAAATGGACTTGAAATTGTTTTTCAATACACTTTTATTGTTGGTGTTTTTTATTGTCGGATCACAACGAGATGTTTTACAACAAGCAATTCATAAATGAAATAAGTGAAACAATAGTAATCGTATTATTTAACAAATCACAGTTAATGAAAGGTTGTGCTGATCAGGTGTCTCCATATTGTGCCCTTCAGATGTGCGATTCAATTTGATTAGACCGAGTCAGTCCTACCTATCCCCGATACAGTGGTACTTCGGGTTAAGTACTTAATTTGTTCCAGAGGCCCGTTCTTAACCTGAAACTGTTCTAAATCTGAAGCACCACTTTAGCTAATGGGGCCTCCCTCTGCTGCCGCGCCGCTGGAGCACGATTTCTGTTCTCATCCTGAAGCAAAGTTCTTAACCCGAGGTACTATTTCTGGGTTAGCGGAGTCTGTAACCGGAAGCATCTTTAACCTGAGGTACCACTGTACTATGGATGGATGTGGCAGCCAGACGCATTTGGCAAAGGTCGTTCCCAGTCTTGCCTCCTGAACTTTTCACAGGATATGCCAGGGATTGGACGTAGGACCTTTTGCATGCAGAGAGAAAAAGGAAGAGCAGCCTAATTATGAGTAGGAAGGCATTATCATTTTCCTCGCGGAATAGGAAATTCAAGATTATTGGAGCTCATTGATACAAAGTAATGTGTATAATTCATCTTGCTGGGTAAAGTATTCCTATATATGTCCAGACAACCCTTAATACTTCGTTTTTAGACCCTGCTAGCAATTTGCGCTGCGCAAAACTATGGCCACAGTTTTCAATCAGTGACCTATAAAACCAAGCACAGAGCCGCAGCTCACTAAATAAAAGCTATGCGAGATGACAATGAAATGTGCTCAGGGTTCTGGAGAGTCTGAGCATCTCACCCTTGATCTCTAAATGTTTTTAATGAGCGTTAAGGGTGGAATCATGCAAGCGCACAACAAAAGAAGTCATATGGAACATGCCAAACAGGAGAAGCCATCAGCACTCTGTATTTAAAACATTTACCCAGTCACAGATTTTAGGTTGGTAATGCATCTCTAAAAATAATCAGGACAGGCTTTTCTGTCCTGTCAGTTTAATTGGAAAGATTTTGTCTCCAAATTAGCTGGGTCACTTGGGGCCAATATACTTCTAAGCATTCTGGCTGCTTTCCATGGTAGAAGAATTACTCTGTTAGCTATCATACTATACATAGTTTTATCAGTGGGTTTGGGGTTTTGTTTTAGTTGTTCTGTTAATGTTGAGCTCCTAAAAAGTGTGTTTCCTTCCCTTCCCAGAGTGCAATGTGCAGCTATGTTTTAACACTTGCGGCAGCTATGAAGGTACATAGGTTCAGCATTTCAGTGCAACATATTATTTCCTTTTGCTGATTTCATGCAATGTTGGGCTATACAAGATGGCAACAAGTATTTATTAACAATAATAATATTTTTATTATTTATATGATGTCCATCTGACTGGGTTGCCCCATACACTTTGGGTGGCTCCCAACAAAATATTAAAAACACAATAAAACATCAACCATCAAAAACTTCCCTGAACAGAGTTGCTTTCAGTTGTAAAATACAGTCATACATTGGGTTACAGCTGCTTCAGGTTGCGTTTTCTCGGGTTACGGACCGCCAAAACCTGGAAGTACTGGAACGGGTTGTTAAAATGGGTTTCGACGATTGCGCATGCGCAGAATCGCAACCCGCTCGTGCGCAGATGCACCGCTGCAGGTTGCGAATGTGCATCCTGCATGGATCACGTTCGCAACCCGAGCGTCCACTGTAGTTGTTTATCGGTTTGACATCTGATGGGAGGGCGTTCCACAGGACAGATGCCACCACCGAGAAGGCTTTGTCTGAAACCTTTCCATGAATTTTATTGCAGCTTAATTCATTCCTAGCTGGAGAAAGAAATATGCATTTTTATGGTGTGCACAACCAGATAAGTGATAATTTGGGGTTCTATTTAATCTTCCAACCAGTTACATGTGTTGTAAACTGGTAGCATATTGTGCTTTAATCTTTTAGCAGATTATTCTGGAGTGGTTTCATAATGGGTGTCTTCAAACTGTACAGCTTTGTCTTTATATTGACCAAAATTAAACCTGGGGAAAGTGTACACTTCTGAATGGTCCTGTTAGGTCATAATGTGCTTTATCCTCCCCCTTTTTTCCTCACAGGAAACCTTCCCCCCCGCCTTTTCATGTGGTGTTCCAACTATCACTTAATATGACATCTGCATTTGTACCAAATATGGTTGGAGCTAACTAGGTTTTTTTTAGTCCATGTTTTAAAATGAATTTGCAAACCATGTTTTCAGGCAATTCTAATCAGCTCTAACCACAGCTATATTTGCCTCAATGCAGATGTAACACAGAACTATGAGAGAATGGGGAGTCCTCATTTGACAGAGCAGTATTCTTGATCTGTATACCGTGGTTTACACTATAAACCGTGGTTTACGCTGTAAACTTCACAGACCGAGAATTTTGCAAGGTAATTGCTTCATACCTGCTACAAAGCTGCCATAATTGAAGTAAGGCATTCCAACCCCTTTCCCTCAACACCATGAAACTAGAACGTGACTTGAGGAAATAGAAATTTACAAGTGACATACTGTTTTGAAATCCGTGATATTAGTGCCACGCAGGCATATGTTTTCCCAAGCATGCAGCTGCATATTTTTATGGAGTTTCGAGTTAACAGTAGCAGGAAACAACCTGGTAGCCTTTGCATTGTTGTTTGCACCATTCCCAGGAGGACTGCAGGAGTAGCAGCCATCAGGCTTTCATTTCTTTTTCACTTCGCGCTGTACTTATGTGACACTAGTGGGGATAGGAATTACATTATTTCAGGCCTGGGCGGCCTTTCACCTGCTAGAGGCTCTGGAAAGCCAGTGCAACAGTGCGAATAGCTTTCCAATTAGGTTCAGTGTCTTTCTCAGAAATGAAAAGCTACTGAGTCCGTTTACCTGGCAGGAGAGAAGTTGGAGAAGCTGCCTCTTCCTTGACAGGGTTTTAGGATGCTGCTTTTAGCCATGGCTATTTTGTGCCATTGCAGCTAAGACAGATTTATTGGATCTGCCTGGCAGAAGCTTGGGAAATCATGAGTCATTTTGGAAGCAAGTCAATTTATTAATGGCAAAGCCATAGGCCATTGTGTAGAGATCTTAACTGGGCCATTCCAGTATGTGCAGAATACAACAGATGACAAATACAAAAGTTAAAAATGAATCCGAAGTGCACTTCCAATTACTCATCTCCTGCCATAACATGACGTATTTTGTTAAAGCAGGCTGGATTTGGATTGAAGAGTGTGAGGTGAAGAAGCTGACCCCTGACCTCTGTGCTGATTCCTTTCCCTGGAGCAGTTTCTGGCAGCAAAGGGGGAAATTCTGTTTCCAGAGGAAGAACTGTGAGGGGAGAGAGACTTCGTGCTGGTCATGAGGCAGTAGATTTTCCCACCTGCCTTACCCCACCCTCTAGCTATAGGGGCCTTTCCCTAGACCATGATTTTGAGAACAATTATGCCAATAAAGGCTGAATGAATGAATGAATGAATGAATGAATGAATGAATGACTTTGGGAACAGCAGAAGTAGATGGGAAGAGAGAAAAGGAGGTCAGGGATAGTTTTTTTAGAAAATAATTTTATTAGTTGTGTCTTTTTGTTTCTTAATTTGATGCTCTTACATGGCATATGTTTTGTGGTATTTTATGCATTGTGACTTGCCATTATTCCTATTGATTATAGTTCTGTAATTCTTTATTATTTGATGATATTTACTTTTATTGTTTACTATCATGTTCCAATGGATTGTTGAATATTGCTTTATTTGATATAAGTTGTTTATTTTTAAGTTATACTTTTATCATATTTTTTTTGAATTGGACCACACATTGCTGTGTGATCTTTGCTGTCGTATTTGTTGTTTCTTCAGCTTGTAAACCACCTTGTGTATAGTAATATAGAAAAGCAGTGTACAAGCTGAAAGTGAAATGAAATGGGGAAAAACTACTTTCCCAGCACCAATATTATGTCTGCACATTTGTGCCTAATAAGCATTTGAGGTGAGGGTTTGAATTGGGGAAGTGGTGCTGAGGGAAAGGACTCACACTCCTTCTCTGTTGCTGGGATTCCATCCACAGTCCTACGAAGAAACTCGGTGTGTCTCGGCTGAAAGTTGACCTGTTGGGAGATCGAGTAATAAAAGAAAACAAGAAAATGAAAGGCTAAACATAAAAGGCACCGAGTGCTGATCAGTTTGGAAGCAAATTTGAATAGGTTCTTGCAATACTGACCATGAGTTACAGATATGGAAAGTTAAGAGTTGCAATCTGTGTAAACTAACACCAGCTGAGAGCTATCTGTAGGTGGGAGGCAGAAAGCTTACTTCTGACGATTTTCTGCCTGAAAGTGGAGGGAAGAAAATTGCAACTCAGTGGAGGAAAATAAAATGCTTTTAAGTTTTTGATGAGGGCACATTCTTGGGGCAGGCAGAATGTACTCATGAATGTTATTTACATTTCAAAGACTACTTAATTCCAAATCATATCCCAGAATTGGATTCCCCATTGCATGTTATGAATAATGCACATGGAAGAAAAGAGCGAATGACCCACAGTGTCTCTCCCATAATTTAAATTTATTGGTATTCTTAATGGTAGATGAGAAGTTTGGGAAGTAAAACCAGTACTGGCAAACATTTGAGAATGGTGGCTAATTCACTGTCAACCTACAGGCAATTTTGCAGAAACCGATTTAATGCGCCTCGCGCAGTTATCGGCACTCAAGGCCATTTTCTGGAATAATTTTGATTGGTGAGTGAAAGGTGATGCAAAAAGTTTTAAACTGAAATTACCTAGCTGTTACCTTGTGGGCATTTAATGAAGGGGAAGAAATGGAACCTAGTTATCCTAATTATTATCTATTTGTATCTTAGCCTAAGGAGCTGAAGAATTCTATGGTGCCATTTTATACAGGATAACATTTTAAAAATGTCCTGCTGGTGTTACAGTAGTTTTGGGCAAATAGTGCAAAGTTGTAATCTCTGTTATAGGCAGACTGCTGTTTACGACTGTTAGTTGGCAGTCTAGATCAATACAAGGCCCTTTGCAACAAAAGCTTAACTCCTTTGCAAATACCTGGGTTTTGTTGCCAAGTGTTCATGAGCCTGAAAAGGTCTTTGACTGCAACATTTGTGATACCTTCCACTCTACAATTCTGTCCCTTCAAATTCTGTGGTTCTGGGCTAACTGCAATGCAAGATGCAAGACTCCATGTAAAAGAGGGGAAAGGGTCTCAATCCTGGAGTCAGCCTTGTACCTTCATGCTCAGGTGGTGGAGGCAGAGGCTTAGGAAGGCCTTTGTTCAGTTCAGATTGGCGTGCCATTTGCATACTTCCTGAGGAGGTCAGACCTGGCCATGATAACACATCTGAATTAAATCAAGGTTGGATTACTTCAATAAGATCTGGATCAAGGTTGTTTCTGGGTGCTTGTCCATAAGACTACATTACACCAGCCTGCAATGCTTGCTCTAGCTACCAATTTGTTTCCTGGTGCAATTAAGTGTAGTGATTATAAATGGCTTCGGTTCAGCATAAATAAAGGACTGCCTTCTCCTGTTCTAGTCTGCACATTGCCTAAGATCTGGATAAACCCTACTCTGTGCATTGTTTGGCAGTGAATCGAGAGAGAGCCTTCTTAGTTGTGGCACCCAGGTTGTGGAAGATCTTCTTCAGGGAGTTTCATCTGTTTCTTGCTGTTTTCTGCCAGCTAGTGGAAACTTTTCTGTTCAAGCAGGCTTCCCACCCCCCACCCTTTGCTGGACAGATACTGTTATGTTTTGAGGATTATTTTAAGCCAATGTTGTGGTTTTATTGTGAGATTGTAATTCTAATTGATGTTAGATACCTGGAATGACATGTAGGCATTGGAAAGATGGAATTATGCACACATTATTGGGCATATCCTTGAGACGGCTTTATTCTTCAAATTCACTTGAGGAGACATTGTCCTTGTTCTGTTCAATTAGACTTGTCCAGCCAAAGGAAGGTGACTCTTTGAACAAGGCACACAATAATCCTGCTCTCAGAAGTGTCTTTCCAATCTGTTTCCGAGATGCATACGGAGCCATGAAGGTAATGCTTTTGGAGTGGATATAGAACCCAAGTCACTTCAGCCTGTGGCTTTCAAAGGCTGTTTGCTCAGAAACTGGATGAGGGCAGTCGGCAGCCCACAGCATCTGTGGATATAATTCATGATTGCAGCAGAGAGTGTTTACCTGACCTCATTTTTCATCACAGAGAACTGCCAGACACCAAGTTGAAATAGAGCTCTTTCCTAACAACCTTCTATCCCCATCAATACATACAGAAAGAAATAGCCTTTTTTTTTTAAAGCCTTAGAACAAAAATGGTTAAAGCACTTCTCTGCAGGAAATGGAGAATGAAGTTTTCATGTTCGTGCAGGTGCCTTGGGATTGCTCTTGTCTTCCTTGGATATTACTAGAGTTTAAAAGAAACACCGGCAAAATGCTACACTGCCACATTCTTGAGTTATTGTCCATTCATGCTTGACAGGAATGGCAAACTCAGTGGAGATTTCACAAAGATACAGAAAGCCAAGGGAAAATTTAAAGTCCCCTGAAGCACATCTTAGTTGGTTTTTCGTTTTAATTGCCCCCTTTTTGTACTTTTTAGCCTCCTGTTTTCTGACTTAGTATTATTCATTTCCTGACTGCTCCCCATCCAACTAAAACATTTCCTGCATATATTATATTACAAACGTTGAGGCATGCTACTCAGGGTTTTTCCTACCTGGCTTTTAAAATAGATTGTGGTTATTTAGATGGTAAGATCTTTGAGAGAGAGAAATGGGGGTAAAGTACATGCTTTGAACTTGGAGAAGGAGCAGGGTTTGTTATGTGTTTGAAAGTCACTTACACCTACAGGGCCGGTCCTGCCATTAGGTAGAGTGAGGTGATCACCTCAGATGATGGATGCTGAGGGGAGCGGCAGCAGCCAGGCACAGCAATGGCTGAGCAGCAGTAACATGTTGGAGGACAGAACTGTGTGTGCCACAGAGCCTTCCCTGTTCCTCCTAAGATAACCTCCTGCCCTCAGGTGTGGTAAAAGATGCTGTCCCAGTGCCAGTATTGACGTTAGATTCAACTGGAAAATTCAACTTCCATTCCAGTCAGATTGTTTACATGAAATTGGAGGCAAGGGATGCCATCTTGTCCTTGTTAAGTTTTTAATGTCTGACATTTTATTTTTTATATTTTGCTGGACGCTGCCCAGAGTGGCTGAGGAAACTCAGCCAGATGGGTGGGGTATAAACAATAGAATTATTTTTATTGTTATTTATTTGCCCCAGGCATCAGAAAGCATGGGGCCAGACCTAGACTTACATAATCTGCTGTAGAGCAGCACATCCAAATTGGACAGGAGCCATCTTAACAAATACAGATCCTCGGTCTCTGCTATAGGTAAAAATACCTCAAAATGAAGCTTGGATTGAGGAAACATCCCCGCCTGAAGTGACTCTTATATTCTGTGCCACTATAGCAGCGTGAGAGTAGAAAATGCAGTCTGAAAAGAAACAGCATCTGTTTATTCAGCTACACGGCCTACATGTTGTTGTAATGAAACAGCCATCAATTCCAGATGCACTCAGGCCCTGGAGCAGACGCTAAGAGCCTGACATTGAAACATTATAGTCATTTTAATTACAAATTTTACCATTAGGTATTTAAAGAGGTATGGTCTGCTAATAAAACTTCCAAATGTTTAACCACACCATTTAATATTGTTCATACATTAAATTTAAAGGGCTGCAGGTAATATACTGAAATGTCAGGACTAGAAGAAGCAGGTGGAAATGGCATATATGTTGTTGACATCTGTCTGTCTCAGGAGACAATGGAGGAGTTCACCTTGAAAGGGGGGGGGGTTAGTCAAACTGTTGGAAGGTTACAGAGACTGATATGGGAGAGACATGTTTTGTTGCAGCTGGGGCAGATGCAGGTGTCCGGTTGTGCTGTTGCGGATGCACCATGGCATTTCTTCTCTCTGTGCTCCTCCCAGGATCAGTCCTCTGGTCACCGCTATGGGTGCACAACCTGATTATCTGTCTCCAGGCACTGTGGTCATCTGCAAGGGATTCCCACATGGCCGGGTTGATGTTGCCAGCCTTCACGCCATGTTTGCAGACATCTTTGGAACACAGAGCTGGTCTGCCAACGGGCCTGAAGAATGTCCTTGGGGATCCTGCCATTTTCTATTCTGTGGACAAGACCAAGCCAGCGTAGACGTCACTGAGACAAAGGGTGCGAACATGCTGGGAATGTGGGCATATTTCTGACGCAGTGCACGTGGAAGGCTCCTGGGTTGTGCTAGGTGTGGTTTTTAAAATAATAGCATTTTTCTTTTGGAGGAAATCCAATTTATATGACATAGTGTGCAGCCTGGGAGTCATTCTGGACTCGCAGCCGTCCATGGAGGCGCAGGTCAGTTCTGTGTCCAGGGCAGCTGTTTACCAGCTGCATCTGGTACGCAGGCTGAGACCCTTTCTGTCTCACCAGAGTGGTGCATGCTCTGGTTATCTCTCGGTTGGACTACTGCAATGCGCTCTACGTGGGGCTACCTTTGAAGGTGACCCAGATACTACAACTAATCCAGAATGTGGCAGCTAGACTGGCGACTGGGAGTGGCTGCCGAAACCATATAACACCAGTCCTAAAGGATCTTCATTGGCTCCCAGTACGTTTCCGACCACAATTCAAGGTGTTGGTGCTGACCTTTAAAACCCTAAACGGCCTCGGCCCAGTATACCTGAAGGAGCATCTCCACCCCCATCGTTCAGCCCAGACACTGAGATCCAGCTCAGAGAGCCTTCTGGTGGTTCCCTGCACTGTGAGAAGTGAGTTTACAGGAAACCAGGTAGAGGGGCTTCTAGGTAGTGGCACCCTCCCTGTGCAACACCCTCCCATCAGATTTCAAAGAGAAAAACAACCACCAGATTTTTAGAAGACATCTGTAGGCAGTCCTGTTTAGGGAAGCTTTTAATGTTTAATAGCATATTGTATTTTAATATTCCGTTGGAAGCTGCCCAGAGTGGCTGGAGAAACCCAACCAGATGGACGGGGTATAATTTTTTTATTATTATTATTATTATTATTATTATTATTATTATTATTATTATTATTATTTGAAAGCAGACTGTTTCTAGCAGATGGTTTTAAAAAATACTGTAATTTTCATGTGTAAAAAGGTTTACCCAGGAGACTAAGACGAATAATATACACATAATGTATGACGGGGTTGCTAAGTTGTAAGTCAGTAGTAGAGCATATCCGTTGCATTCAGTTCTCAGCATCTCCTGGTAGGATTTAGCAAAACCTCTGTCTGACATTTTGGAGAGCTATTTCCAGTCAATGCAGGAGATACTGAGTTGATGACCCAGTGGTCTGGCTTGGTATGAGACAGGCTGCCATGTCCCTACTCAACTTGTCAATATATATGGTTGTACATTGAGGTATTGAGTGCTGACTTGTGTTTCTAATCCTGTAACAGTTTGAATTATCCTGCAACCCAACTAATGACACACATTCAGCAGGATTTAGCCAAAGGGGACTGGTTCTCCACATAAGTTGAACTTGGCACATCTGTGCTGTGGCAGCAGGACCTCGCTTTGCATGTTCACAGTGATAAATTAAATTAAGGCTTTATTTTCTTTTAAGATGTGAGGTTAATACTTACCCTAGTAGATCTGAGAGCAAAATGAAATTAATTTTGCCTTGTTCATCATTCATTCCCAGCGCTTTCCCTTAAAACACAATTCAAGAAGAATTTACCACATCTGCAAACATGCATAGTGTGATTTCTGATACGAGACACAAAGAAGGAGAGGGGGAAAAGCATTTCAAATACTGCGGCTGCCCTTGGTTTCAAAAGAGTATAATTAATTGCTTCTTCTGTTAATTTAATACTCTGACTAATCCTACTAAAAGGGATTATTTAGAGTAGGCAGATAATGTAAGATTCACTTTGTGTCATTCAGCCGTTTTCAAGAAGACCAAACGGGAAGGTGTCACTGGCTTTGTCCCATTTTTTAAAACAAGTTATTTGCATACTTTAGGTGAAATATTAAATTTTACATTTTGTTGTAATAAAAGAAGTCCAAAAAGTAAAATTAAAGCCATTAAAAATATATGTATGAGAAAAGATTAAACAAACCATCAAATCACTGGCTCACAAATTCTAACCTCTCCAGGTTGCTCCAAGGTAGATGCTGAATATTTGCACTGAAGTACCAAGGAAATAATTAGTATCACATTTCAAAATATCCACTAGACTTCATGTACCATTTATGATCACTTAAAGGACACGGGTGTGGCTGTGGGTTAAACCTAGGACTTGCCGATCAGAAGGTCGGTGGTTCGAATCCCCACGACGGGGTGAGCTCCCGTTGCTCGGTCCCTGCTCCTGCCCACCTAGCAGTTCAAAAGCACATCAAAGTGCAAGAAGATAAAAAGGTACCACTCTGGCGGGAAAGTAAACGGCATTTCCGTGTGCTGCTCTGGTTCGCCAGAAGCAGCTTAGTCATGCTGGCCACATGACCCGGAAGCTGTACGCTGGCTCCCTTGGCCAATAAAGCAAGATGAACGCCGCAACCCCAGAGTGGGTCATGACTGGACTTAATGGTCAGGGATCCCTTTACCTTTAAAGGACAGATGGGGGGGCTGTGCCTGTCTGAGATTGTTGGACTCTCAAACCCATCATTGCTAACCATTGGCCATACCGACTCAGGCTGATGAGAGTTAAGAGTCCTACAAGTATCTAGAAAAGCACAGGCTTCTAGATTTCTGGCTTAAACCAACACTGGGACCCTGTGGCATTTAAGGAGACTTGCTCACAGGTAAGCTGGTTTTGGTCCAAAACCAGATGTTTTGGACCAAAATTCTCATCAGCCCAACCAGGCAATAGTCAAGGATTATGTGAGGTGTAGTTGAAAACTTTTTGCACCTCCCTTCTGTGGCTTGAGATACAAAGCAGCCTGCAGAAGACCACCCCCAAGCATGGATGCTTAGAGATATCAAAGAAAGCTACACTATGTTTGCTATTATGATTTTTTAAAATAAAAAAATTGTATGTCTTTCAGGTTTTATAAGTGTGTGTGTATGTTTTATCATCACTGTCAGGGAACTGCCATCGGAAGGACAGGAGGTGGAAGGGCTCACAGAGGTTGAGAGAGACTTAACAGCTGAAGAGGGAACCAGCAGGGGGAGAGAAGGAGCTCCAAGGGAAAGTGAGTCGGAGGGATGGCTCAGGGACACTTCCAGTGAAAATAGTGGGGAGGTTTCAGGACCTCCTATAGGGACACCCACTCCTCGCCGGAAACTGTCGCGCAGAGAGTCCAGAAGACGTGTTTCCGTTAAGGAGCTTTTATGCTGGAAGAGATTCCGTAAGCGCCCACTTTCGGATACTGCTAGCGACTGACGGAGCCATGCTTGAGGGGCTCCGTCGTAGGCAGAGGTTTGCGGACTTGGCCAAACTCTGAGGGACTAGGATTTTATGCACAAGCAGCTCATCATCCCATCACAATCACCCTTTATTGTTAATACACAGTTTCACATGTGATTTGTTTGCTTTTGATTCTACTATTCTTGATTTTTTTCTGAAAAGATTTATCAGAATCATATAACTGGAAGGGATCACAAGAGTCATCTAGTCCTGCAATACAATAATCTTTTGCCCAATCTTTTGTGGGGCTCAAACCCACAACCTTGAGTCTCATGCTCTACCAACTGAGCTATCCCAGAAGCTACATTTCTCCGTAAAATCCCAGGGTCCTATAGAACAATTTAAAACAAGCTGAAGAATGTAGAAAGAATATAGTTGTGTCCGTACGCTCCTGAATGCATCGGTTGCCAGCTCAGTCTCTGTGGAAAGCAGTCTGCTTGCTATGGTGCCCTTGAAAGCTCTCAGAAAATATCCTCTTACAACCCCCACAATATACGAGAGATGGTTTGCTCTTCCTGTTCAGT